AGTCAAATTTTGTGATTTTTTTTTTTTTTTAACCATTCTAAAATATTTGCGTTGGAAATGTTTCGTAGTTATGGTTTCTGTGGTTATTGTGAGCCCCCCCGCCCCCCATATAACATAGATACTATACCTTTATTTTGATATTTATTCATTCCAGAAAGTATATACCAAGTCTATACCAGGTTCTGTCATGTACTGGGGATGTAGGGGACAACAAAACATGCCTGGCCCCTGCCTGCGTGGAGTATATGGTCTAGATGGAAAGAAAGAAGATTAAACAAGTCACACTATTAATGAGTGGAAGGTGGTGTGGGGGGGACAGGGGCGGCTTTAAGAACATACAGCAGGGGAATCTATACCAGTCTAGATGTCAAGAGTCAGGGACAGGTTCCCTGGGAAGGTGACGAGACAACAGCTGAAGGAGAATAAGTGGGTATTAGCCAGAAAGGGGGTGCAGGTGTTCTAGTCAGAGGCAGCAGCATGTGTGAACGGTCATAGAACCACTGTGGTACAAAATAGGACTGAAAGTTTTATTTGCTGGAGATTTGGGAGCATCTGAAATTATGGCAAGATCTTGGAGATCTTTGTCTACTGAGTTGAATAAATTGTACTTAGCAGGGGTCAGAAAACTTTCTGTGAAGGGCCAGAAGATAAAAATACAGTAGGCTTTGTGGGCCACATTGGTCTCTGCCACAGTTACCGTGAAAGCAAGATGTGTAAATGAATTTGCATGGCTCGGTTCCACTAAAACAAGCTTCAGGGTGGATTTGACTCTGGGCTATAGTTTGCCCACCCCGTCCTAGAGCAAAGAAGACCCTTTCAGGGCTTTTAAGAAAAGAGTGATGTGATTGGACTTGTGATTTTAAAATAATTTTCTAGTGTCTTATTTTACTTATTAATTAGGTTTTCTAGGTGAAGAAATTTATTTCCTCTTGATAACTGTACATTTCTTATCTATTTCCTGTCTTGGAACAGTGATTCTCAAACTTTGGCCAGAATCAGAATCACCCACAGGGCTTGTTAAAAATTCAGATTATTGGGCCCAACCCAAAGAAGTTCTAATTCCGGAGGCCTGGCATAGTGCCCCAGGATCATATTTCTGACAAGTTCCTAGGTGATTTCACCCCTGATATTAGTCTGGGAGCCACACTTTGAGAGCCACTGGCCAGATTTCTAGAAGAATGACGGTTGCTAATACTGGCTATTTTTTTGTTCCGAATGTTCATGGGTATGTCATTTGTATGACTTTATATTTTCTTTGTCATATTTAGGAAAAACTCCTTGTTTTGATCCTAGCTAGTAAGGAACTTCTGACTATTTTTTTTCTTTTTTTTAAACAAAGAATATATGTTAAAATTGATTTAATCTAGTAATGAGGGAAGCATTAGGATAAAACTGGTTGCAGAATTGGGGGGACTAAGTATATAGATAGGTATGTAGAAATGTCCTTTGGAATTATATATGTTTTTAAATCATAAATTGACAGTTTATAATTGTAAATTTTGGGAGTAAAAAGATGTTATAATTTATGAATGCAAATGTGGGATAATTAAATCAAGATACTTAACATATCTATCATCTCAGATACTTGAACTTGTGACATTTCATGAGGCAAAACCTGTCTTATAAATGAGGCTCTCATTACCACTCTCTTCCAAAGTTTAGCTCCAGAGACCTCAAAGTTAAGTGAAAATATCTGCCAGATTTGGACCATAAGTTATTCTTAATTATTGGTGACAGTGTGAGTTTTTATCATTTCCTCTAGTTTCATAGCTATTTTCGTGAAAAGTTGGAAGAAACTGTTAGAAGCCAGGCGGGCACATGATAAACTGTTTATAGAAGTCTTTGTATTTGGTTCTTTCTTTATTAGAATATGGTAATTTAGAAATTAACTTTCTTTTAGTTGTTACATTTTTCAGATCAGCAGAAACTGAGAAAACAAACTTGATTTATCGTGCGATAAGTAAATATGGACTATCAATTAAAAATGCCCACATTCAGGCTTTTGATTTAGGTCTAATTATCAGTGTTGTTGAGCTGCCTGTCCAAGTTTAGAAAGTTATTGACCTAAAATCCTTCCCAAATATTATTTCAGATACAGATGCTGAGAAACCATCCAATTGAATAGAATTAATTTAAACTATTTTTTTTCCAGAAAAATTTGCAAGAAGAAATTGACGCCTTAGAATCCAGAGTGGAATCAATTCAGCGGGTGTTGGCAGATTTGAAAGTTCAGTTATATGCAAAATTTGGGAGCAACATAAACCTTGAAGCTGATGAAAGTTAAACATTTTATAATACTTTTTTTAATTTGTTTAATAAACTTGAATATTGTTTAAATTGATAATTTTCCTTCTTCAAATGACATGGAAAGGAAAACTTTCTTTTTTTAAAATTTTCATT